ATATTTGTAATAGCATTACATTAGAAATAATTCAGATGTCCCACAGTGGGGTATTTGTTGTCAATTATAGTATATCCAATAGAGGAGAGTACTGTGCAGCTGTAAAAAGGAATGAGAAAGATCTCTATGGAGATAGGATGATTTCCAGAACATACTATTAAATGAAAGAGTAAGATGCAGAATATTGTGTTTGATATTCTAATGTTTATGTAAGAAAATGGGGGTAATGTGCATAATTGTGTGTGAGAGTATATGTTTGCTTATAATTTTACAAGAAGAAACAAAGGATAAATGAAAAAGTTACCTACAAAAAGGAGGAGGAAACAGGATAGAGGAGACAGGGATGGAAGTAAGTCTCTGAATGCAGCTAGTTTATAGTTTTTGACTCTAGAATCAAATGAATGTACTACATAATCAAAAATAAAATCAGGTCAAAAAGGGAGGAAAAAAGCCATCCTTGAAATCTGAAAACAAACGTGGCTATCTTATTCTTTGTGTCATTGGTATCAAGGGATTTCAACTATCTGCACACACACCTGGCATGGTTTAAGAGGAAAAACATCTGGATATAAAGTACCTTTCACGAAGTATCTAAAACATGAAGGCCCCCTTTTGCTTTTTGGTCTTATCTTGAGAAGAGCGTAGTCTAAGAACTCCTTAAGAGCAGAGAGTCATTTATATGATCTGTGTAACATCTCATGTGCTGCGAGCTGTCAGATCTTTAGTGTTTGACATCATGACTATGCAGGGAACAGACTTCACACCAAGATTCCTAATACTAGACCTAGGAATACTCAACTTTGATCATCTTCGTATCTTTTAAAATGGAAAAGTAAGTTCTTACATGTATTTTTTCATTCAGTGGCATGGGTCAAATAAGTAATCTTTGGTCTTATCTGTCCACTGGGATCAGTTCCTTCAGGCAGGCACACATGGTCATTCCTAAGAAGTACTTGAAGTGCATTCTGCCTTGAAAATGGATTTGTGTGTGCTTTATTAGGATTTCTTTTTAAGTTTTTAAACTATACTAGATACCAGGCATTCAAGATTAAGTGTGTTATGTTCTAAGAAAATAGCTAGCTGAGTATACTTTCACCCACATTCCTATTACAGTCAACATGGAAAGGTTTCTTCACCAAGTGAGTGACACGATACAGATGTGTTGCTCACTTTCTGCATATGCCTCTGTCCTGTCCCCCTTTCCTACCCATTTCCTGAGTGCTGCTTTGCGGAAGACTTTCCGTTTGTCATGCATACCACATGACATAAGAAAAGTAGGCTTCAGAGGAGGCAGAGGATGTGGGGTGACCACAAGCCACAAGGAAAGAAGACAGAGTGTGAATAGCTTCTGTCCCTCTATCTTTCCCCCTTCTATTTGAAAGAAAAGACTGGGGTTTTTTACTGTTACCTGTGCAATGATGGAAACTTCTGAGGACATTCCAAGACAGTGTACAGTCCTGTGGTCTACTCGGAATTCCGTATAGATAACATCTCAAGGGATATTCATATAAACTTTTTAAAGAGATGAGTAATAGAGCTAACCCTTCTCTGTAAGTTTGAATTTATATTCTTTCATCCCATGTACAAAACCAATTTTTGTGTGTGTTGGGGGGGTTGTAAAGAAAAGAATGCTGTATCATGTTATTTGCTTCAGCAATTTTAGGACAAATTAAAAGTCCTAAAATCTGGTGCCAGAAAAAAAAAGAAAGAAAGAAAAGTTACCCTATATATTTTTAACGTTGTCTTAGCTCTTTCAGGCTGCTGTCACAAAATATCTTAGAATGGGTCATTTATAAACAATAGAAACTTACTGCTCTCAGTTCTGGAGACTAGGAAGTACAAGATCAAGGTACCAGCAGATTTTGTGTTTGATGCAGGCTAGCTTTCAGCACCTTCCTGCTGCTTCCTCATGGAAAACAGGGCAAAAAAACCTCCCTCGCAACTCTTTTATTAGGGTACTAATCCTATTCGTGGAAGGCTCCACCCTTTGACCTAATCATGTCCCCAAGCCACACCTTATAATGCACTAACTGTGTCAAGATATGAATTTGGTGGGGACACAGGCATTCAGATTGTAGCAAAGGGCACTGAGGTCAACCCAGAAAAGAGAAATGTGATATCATAGGTAATGATCTGTATTTTCTTGCTATCCTTATACACTGGGTGGAGAAACTGGCTTAAAACTATATGTAAGCCGGGCTCGGTGGCTCAGCCTATAATCCCGCGCCTTTGGGAGGCTGAGGTGAGTGGGTTGCCTGAGCCCGCGGATTTGAGACCCGCCTGGGCAGCAAGACCTCATCTCTACAATAAATAAAAAAATCAGCCAGACGTGGTAGCTCGCGCCTGTAATTCCGGCTACTTGGAAGGCTGAGGCGGAAGGATCACCAGAGCCCAGCAGGTCGAGGCTGCAGTGGCCGGGAGCGGCCACTGCACTCCAGTCTGGGCAACAGAGTGAGACACCAACTCAAAAAAAACAAAAACAAAAAATATACATATATGTAGTTATTAGTTGAAAATGTCAGAAACCTAAATGGTTAACAATAAAGGACTCATTAAGCATCCACTCATTAGCCAGGTGTGATGGCGCATGCCTATGGTCCCAACTACTTGGAAGATTGAGGTGGAAGGATCTCTGGAGCCCAGCAGGTCGAGGCTGCAGTGGCTGTGGAGTTGTCCACTGCACTCCAGTCTGGATGACAGTAAGACTCTGACTCAAAAAAAAAAAAAAAAAGCATCCACTCAACTGAGTGCTATACAGGTAGTTAAAATTAGATTTTAGTTACCATTTAATGACATGATAGAAATGGTCATGACGATGATGATAACTAAAATTTATTGGGTGTTGATTTTATGCCAGGTATCTTTCTAAGCTTTCCTTGTATTAATTCAATTGGTTTATCTTCACAGCAGCCTTATGAGGGAGAAACTATTCTTAATCCCCCTTTTAAAGGTGAAGAACCTAAGGCTCAGAGCATTTGAGCAGTTTGTCCAAAGTTAGACAGTTGGTGAGAGGCAGAGCTAGAATTCAAGCCCAGGCAATTTGACTCTAAAACCCTGGTTCAGGCATCATTACATATCTCTGTCAACTTTTTTATGGAACTAAACAAAATGATTTTGATTCATCTAGGAAAAAAATGCATTAAAGATAACCAATCAGATTTTTCAAAGCAGAATTGGTGGAGAGAAAGGATGGCATGTCCTACAGACATGAAAATATACTATAAGATATAGTAAGTTTTAAAATATCATAGTATAGCCGGGCTCGGTGGCTCAGCCTGTAATCCCAGCGCTTTGGGTGAGTGGAATGCCTGAGCCCGCGGGTTCGAGACCTGCCTGGGCAACTTGGCGAGACCTCATCTCTACAATAAATCAAAAATTAGCCGGGCGTGGTAGTGCACACCTGTAGTTCCGGCTACTTGGAAGGCTAAAGCGGAAGGATTGCCGGAGCCCAGCAGGTCGAGGCTGCAGTGGCCGGGAGTGGCCACTGCACTCCAGTCTGGGTGACGGAGTGAGACTCCAACTCAAAAAATATATATATAATAGTATAGCAGAAATAGACAGAGAAGAAATAGAATAAATCAGAAGAGTATGCCACTATTTACATTTACAGGGAGGAGACTGGATACCCCTGAATAACAATAGTGATTATCAACAGAGAAATTACAGGTGATTTCTTTCTTTCGTTCTTTCTTCCCTTTTTTTCTGGGTTTTTTTTTTGTGTGCCTTGTTTTTCAAATTACCTACAGCGAACATTTTAAAGTCATATAATATTAGCATGTTTATTTTTAATGCTTTAAAGTTTCAGGTTTTAATAATATTTTATTAGTGTAATATATATTGCTGTTTGATTTTTATATATACTGTACTTACATTTTCCAAATTATTTTTTCTGCATAGTGATTTTTCCAAAATGCTCTATAAATTGTTTATTTGTTCAGAGCTTAAATTAACCAGTCATACAGAGTACCAGTCCAGTCCTCCTTTTTGGTAAAGATGGAGAAAAGGCAATGGAATAACAATCCTCTTCTGTTTTAGGGTTGAGGAGAAGGATTTTAGACCCTTTGACTTATTTTCAAAACCTGAATTGTTTATTGATGCTCTATAGAAAAACTGTTGAGTTTTGCATGTGTAGCTTTTGTCTGATCACCTTGCTGAGCTCTATAGTAAATTGTAATCATTTTATTTACAAATAACAGTAACTTTTTCCTCTGATATTTATGGTCTGTATGTCATATGAAACCCAAAAAAATGGAATAGTTGTTTTAAAAAGTCAGTGGATTCTTCTCATGGTAGCATAGAAATATGGGTCTATATGTCATAAAGTGAAAAAATAAAGTTACAGAGTCCTATGTGTAGTATAATCCAGTCCTTATTTAAAACTAGAAAAATAAGCACTGCATAAAGTCCTTGATTTGGGGATATTGCCTCTCCCGCACAAATTCCTATATCAATTTAAATGCTTGTCTTAGTTCAAGCTGCCATAACAAAATGGCATCGACTGGGTAGCTTAAACAACAAATGTATTTTCTCATACTTCTGTAGGCTGGGTGGTCCAAGACCAAGATGCTGGCCAACTCAGTTCCTGGTGAGAACTGTATTCCTGGCTTGCAGAGGATGTCTTCTTGCTGGCTCCTCATGTGGCAGAGAAATAGAGATCTCTCTCTGTCTTCATATTCTTACAGTCAACGGTTCCGTCCGAGTAGGGCCCCACTCTTATGACCTCATTTAACCTAATCACCTCCTAAAGACATTACCTCCAGATACAGTGATATACTGGGGGTTAGGTCTTCTACATATGAATTTGGGGGCGATGCAGTTCAGTCCATAATAGTGCCTAAACTCTTGTCAACATCCTCAGGAGTTTTGTGTTTACATTTTATTGCTGATGGGATTCATTTTATCCTTTCTTATGAAATTCATACTTATTCCTTTACAATTTGCCATAGAAACTTTATTTAAACTTAACCTCATGAATCATTTCTTCTTAGACACAAAATCGAATGAAGCTAATGGCAGACAACTATGAGGATGACCACTTCAAATCCTCCCATTCCAATCAAACAAATCATAAACCCTCCCCAGACCAGGTAAGACTTCTCTTGAATGTTTTATTTTTTTTTAAGGTACATTTATGTTTTGATATATTTTATACTAGCATGTTGCAAGCTCTGGAATATAAAGTAGAAGAAAAATAGCTAATTCAGTTTCTGAAAACTCCTTATTTATCTTTTTTTTTAAAACACACTCAGTTTTTGTATAGCAGTTGGTCATTCTGAATATTTTAAGAGCAAATAATTGAAAGACTTGAGAACGATAAAGAATTCTTGAGTTAGGTTGAGAAAAAAAAAAAATAACCATTTCAGAGATATATACTCATTTGTAACTGTCCTGCTTTTCTTTCTTTGAGTTGGAGTCTCACTGTGTCACCCAGGCTAGAGTGCGGTGTCATCATCACGGCTCACTGCAGCCTCGACCTCCTGGGTTCAGGCAGTCCTCCCACCTCAGCCTTCCAAGTAACTGGGACTACAGGCATACATCACCATGCCCAGCTAATATTTTTATTTTTTTGTGGCGACAAGATCTCAATGTACTGCCCAGGCTGGTCTCAAATTCTGGGGCTCAAGCAGGCCTCCTGCCTCAATCTCCCAAAACGCTGGGATTACAGACACGAGACACTAGACTTGGCCATGCTGTTCTTTTTGAAGACACAATCTAATACTAGAAAAACAAGACTCTCCTTGTAAGCTCAGTGAGACACAACTCATTGTAGAGGTTACTTCTGTTTAATTGAAAATAATGAACTCTCTGCTCTTTTAAATTATCACCTCTTCAAAGTGGAGATTGAAGCTTAAAGTCTTCACTCCCTTTCTTGTGGATCCTTCCAGCTTGTCATTCTCAAGGATTTGTTTTTTTGAAAATTTTTTGAAAATTGTTGTTTTCAACTTCTCATCGATGCAAAAGAGACATTGATGAGTCTGAAGGGGACTATATTCAATTCTAGTTCTTTGGAAGAAAAGAACTCTCCCAAGATCTTGAAAGTGATGGATGGGGGAGAGTGGTGAACAGATTACCTCATATCCCATTGCCAAAAATCAGATTTCCACATCTCCATCACACCCAGTCTTAAAATATATAGCTAAGGGAAAAAAAATAATAGTCAAGTAATTACGTCCATATGACTAAAGAGTCAAGGAAAACTTTCCCTGCTTGACATCTCCACTAAATAGCAGCTATGGCATTGCTTTAGGAGAAGCATCAGGAATAGGGCAGATGAAAGCAGCGGTGCCATTCACGTTGCTATTATTTCTAAGATTCAGAAGGTATAGTCTTAGTATAATGACATTTACTAAGCCAGTTGAGGCATGCCTTATATTTTAGAGGGAAAACAGAACCAATCTTTAATGGAGACCTGGTGTCAGCAGTCTTTCCCTGCCAAGAAATCACTTTTTGTTCTCTGCCTGCTTCCCGATACCTGGAATCAGATTTATGCCAGTGTATATGAGATGGTGTTAGATGCTTTCCTGGAAACAGGTTTTGCTAATAGAGAGAATTGAATGCCTGGAGTAGGAGGAGGCAAACTGAGGTAGGGAAAGGTTGAAGCAAGGGCAAAACATAAAGAAAAGCCACTGACTTGTTAATTTTGCCCAGATCCAGCCCTGAGATAGAGATGGCATTTTAGAAAGGTAGGAAGAACAGAAATGTAGCGACAAACTACAGTTGCTCCTCAGTATCCTCTGGGAATTAGTCCCAGGACACACTCCCTCCCAGCCTCCCCACGCCTATGGATGCCCTAGTCCCTTATATGAAATGGCATCATGTTTGCATATCACCTACACATATCCTTTAAATCATCTCTAGATTACTTACAATACCAAAAACAGTGCAAATGCTATGTAAATAGTGGCTAGACTATATTGGGTTTTTTAAAACTGTATTGTTTTTATTGTTACATTGTTATTTTTTATTGTGTTTTTTTCCCCTGAATATTTTCCATCCATGGTTGGTTGAATCCACAGATGTGGAATCACAGATATGGAAGACTAACTGTAACTACTAATTTTGACCTTTTAGAGAGTTAGAATTGAGGATGAAGGAGTCGAGAAATTCTCTTCTACTACATTATGCTTTGCCTTTGTTTTAAATACTAACCAACTCTTTTTCATTCCCATGCTGCCCTGGGGCACTGCTCCCTTTGTCATCTCTCTTCCCCATAGGATGAGGAGGAGGGTATATGGGCATAGCCAATCAGATGCTCTTAGTTCAGCCATTTTGTTCAGAACGGTGAGAACCAGCTTCTTTAACTATAGACATGGTTTTTGTTTGTTTTCATTTTTCTTTTTACACAATCACGCTCACACCTCATTTCTCTGTAATTCATGAAAAACCTTGATGTGCTTTCTGGTTTTTGTTTTTTGTTTTTCATTTTCACATGATTCTTGTGTGTATTGCTGTGCTTCTGACAGTGGGGTTTGAATTTTGTGGCTTTCTTTTTCTTGTGTGTTAATAGTCACTTTTATAATTTCTTTTTATGCATTTTTGGGAGAACTTCCAGGGCATATGACTAAATTCCTCCATTTGTGATATTATTAATAAATTACCCTTTCTAGGGTGATTTTACAGTGTCCTGGTAAAGATTATAATGACTTACATCAAACTGGCAGTAGAAAATTGATCAAACACCCTTCCATTAGCCTAAGTTTGAGATATACTTTTTATGATGATTAATCATAAATACATTATCTTTTTAAAAAATACTGTGTATTAAAATCTCCTTTTGTTTCTATTTATAAGGGAATGTTGTAAATTCTTAGAGTCAACACCTAGGACATCCCCTAGGGCTTTGACATTACTCTCAAACTATCCCTAAAAAATAGGGAAGAGCAAAGAAGGAAAGGAAGACTTTTTTTAGAAGTCGGTCTGAGAATTCTTTTCCCTTTCTTCATGGATTGCTGCTGTGTTAAACAGCTGCCAGGACACTGTCTATGTTCTCCTTTCAGGCCAATTGCCTGGAAAATGTAGTCCAGCTGTGGCAGTATGTCTCTTTGATCCAATGCCCTTGAGGTTTGACTAAGGAAATCCTTTTCTTAGAAAAAGTAATAATTATGATTAATAAGTTCACACATATTGGTGGCTTTGCACTTTCTGGATTCACTGCTCATGCTTATTGGTGATCTCACTCTGTTGGAGTCAGTTCTCCCTGAAATGTCTCTGTCTTGGTGTTAAACTGCCTTAAATGATGAGGACATGTGTAGACCTCTTACTGTCAAACACAACCAAGAAAGATGAAGAGGTAAGTTGTGGAAAGGGGCCATGCACTGTGAGGTGGGAAGATTTCCAGAAGACTTTATCCTGAAAGTGTGAATGAAGGCGAAATGCACAGATCAACCAAAAACTCTTTGATTATGATGCTGCATGCCAGGGAAGGCTAAAATTGCGAAAAATCACTGTGCTAACTTTATGTATACTCTACATGGATACATATTTGTCATCATGAGGCATGTAGGGCCATACTGTAGTTGAATATAGTTTACCTGTCTTTTAGAAATGAACATAGTCTGCCTAGTCTATTTTGGCAGAACATAAAAATTTCTTGGCTTGCCCTATCTGGAAACACTTCCTCCACCACATGAACAGGAATGTGTTATGGTTACAAACCCTTTTTCTTTTGTGATCAGAAGAAACACATTCGTGTTCTGGGAAACAAGGCCCCAAATGAACAAACAATCACATAGACCTGTTCCTCATGTCTCCATTTTCCTTTTACCATAATAGAATAACTCCTAGCAAAAATTCAAATACTGTTGATTTGCTTTTTCCAGTTATTACACTGTTGAACTTACTGCATTAAAATGTAAACTGCCATCAGTTTAACACAGCGCAGTTGCAGGTAGCAGGCAATACTGGATTTTCTGTGATACAGTGTTTCAAAGTTTTGAGAACTACAAACATCATTATATCAAGGATTTTACCTAAAGAAATGTGTAGGCCGGGCTCGGTGGCTCAGCCTGTAATCCCAGCACTTTGGGAGGCCGAGGTGAGTGGATTGCCTGAGCCCGGGTTCGAGACCTGCCTGGGCAACTTGGCGAGACCTCATCTCCACTAGAAAACAAAAATAGCCGGGCGTAGTAGCACATGCCTGTAGTTCCAGCTACTCAGAAGGCTGAGGCGGAAGGATCACCGGAGCTCAGCAGGTCGAGGCTGCGGTGGGTGGGAGCAGCCATTGCACTCTAGTTTGGGTGACAGAGTGAGACTACAACTCAAAAAAAAAAGAAATGTGTAAGTGACCCCTAAAACACCATAGATGTTTTGACTGGCTATCCAGGTTCCCTACTAATTTTGATTTTCTTAGCAAAATTCAAACTTTTGAAATTGATGATTTACCTTATCGAATTTAAGAACAAAAGTTTTGCATCTAAACATTTTATAAGACACCAATATGTACTGACCAGCATAAACCTTACTATATATATATATAATCAATACTCAGATGGAGAAAGAATCATGGAATGACAGAGCCAAAAGGGGTTTTGGAGTTCGCCTTTCAGGAGAGGTGGTAGTTCATAATGTTTAAGAGTGTAGGCTTTGGAGCAGAATGCCTGTGTGCATACCCTAGCACTCCCACTTATTAGCTTGTGACTTTGGGCAAGGTGTGTAATCTCACTATACTTCGATTTCTTCATCCTTAAGATGGAGGTTATTGTGAGAAGTAGGTGAATTATGAGACACACAGACTCTGAAGCCAGACTACATGGCTTTGAATCCATATTCTTCCACCTACTCTGTGACCTTGGGAAAGTAACTTCAACTCTCTGAACCCCCATTCCTTATCTGTAAAAATGGGTTTATTCCTAGTGCCTACTTCTAGGGTTGGGTTGGATACATCGGTAAGTTAGTATGTGTAAAGTGCTTTGAACAGAACTGTGTGCACTATTACTATTTTTCTTGTTGCTGTTGTCTTTATTAACTTATACCCATCTTCAGAAAATAGTAAGTTTTCAATAAATGTTAGTTATGATTATTAATATCATCCAGTCCAGTGCCCTCATTTTATAGGTCAGAATGCAAAATAAAAATTTGAAAGTTGTGA